GTTCGGCAACGCTCGGCCATTCGCAGACATCGATCGGTTCCTTAAAGAACAAGCCAAAGGGCACCTGGACGGTCGACTGTCGGCAACCACCGTCAAGTTCATTGTGGATGAATGAAATTGAGGCGGACATGGTCTAGAAAAACGAATACAAATCGCAAAACGTATTATTCTTCTGTCTTTCAGTATTTTTTATTTCTTTCACGAATTTCTTACACACTTGGCATTCTACATTTTGTAGCATTTGTTTCTAAGCATAGCGCTACCATGAGTCATCCATCGCCGTTTCGCTCCTTTTGCTTAGACACCTTAATGGGGTGAATGCTTCATACCTTACTTACTTTGATGTTCAAGTAGCCGTTCCCATTGTGTGACATTTTTTATATTATTTTAAATTATGTTTCCTTCTTTGATCTGCACATTTCATTATTCTGAAGGCATATGGATTTACGTATTTTGACAATAGATTCCGTCTTCTTTCATACTGAGCCATGCTCGCAACATGTTATTCATCGCATAGCTCTTGCAAGACCTCAAATCTCGTAAATCTGTGAAACTCTTTTGACTTCAGATGACAGTGACAGAACAACTTCCAAGATTAGATTTCATAGCTCGTTTGCTCGTGGTAGCTTAACCACCATTTTTGAAGTTCACAATTTTGTGATATGAGAGCGCGAGGATTTAGAGTTTTCGGTGCAGCTTATGTCCTGAAGTCTGGTCTTCCGGAAATTGTATTCTTAATGTTCTCTGTCTACCCATCCACAAATTTATGTTTATGCATCAGCTGCTGAGACATTTTCCTTGATGAATAAGAAATTGATCTATTGAATAAGATGATGTGAAATGCATGCAGCGCTACAGGTGCTAAAATGCTAGTAAATGTCATTAACCGTGCCCTATGTGCAACTGGGAGCAATGCAATACGCTGTCAATTATATTGTGCTATGTGCTATGTTCTAACAAAATTTTTTTCACCTTATTCCTTCATGGAGTTCCTGATTGCTGGTCAGAAAGGACTCAAGATGCATGAGCAGGATTGGTGGACCATGATCACGCAATTCATGTCAGAAAGGGAAGACTTGTCCACCGTTGCTGAACAAAGCAAAACACTGCAACTAAATTTTTAAATGGTCAGGTTATCATAATAAGATTTTTGGGTTTAGGTTCTACTACAAGACTGGCAGAACATTAAGCGCTATTTTATTTATAAGTACATGCCCATTAACTACCATGAAGAAGTGTTAATTGTTGTATAGAAAGTTCGATGCAGAGGCTACGACAAAGCGTACATTGGAAAGGCCAACAAGAAATTGAACATCGGGATAAAAGCATACTCTTCTGCGGTCTACCTTGGACAGGCTGTCAATTCCCATGTTGCCCAAAATGCTATTACTGAACGATATTCTTTAAGGCAGACCAACCTGTCTGTTACAGAAAAAGACCAATCAAAATTAAGACTTCTGATAAAGGACTTCTCACCTATTCTGGCAATAAAATCCAGCTGCGCGATTAGTATACATTCTCTTTGGTCATTAGCAAAAACTGGAAATGATTGCAAAATTGGTACGATCGTTTTAATCAGAACTACATCCTGGTTTATTGAATAACACTCTGGCCATTAGGTTAAATAATATTTGAATTGTAAAGTGCCGCGCAGCAGTCATTTGTACTTATCCTAGCCTTGATGATGCAAAAGTCTCTGTAGCGAAACGCATCGGCAACAAACTGTTCTACCATCTGTACCATTTGGTGCCATGAGCCCTGAATCGTCATCTTCCATCGCCGCTTCTCCTTTCGGGTCGCCGATGCAGACGCGTCAGACAGAGCTTCCAACATTTCTGATCCTCTGCCAGTGTCTGAGCTTCGGTAAAAGACAACTGGAGTCACTGGAGTCTGGAACAGACTCTTTCCATATATTTGCACCAGGTTAGTCTTGGCCGTTCCTTGGGCCTTCTGCCGGTCGGATTCGCAAGAAACAGTTGCTAATCTTTCCTTTCTGGAGAACAAATCGATCAAACATTTTTCAGACTCATAAAGAGAGGTGTAACGCTTATACTTATCAAGATGGGTATAGTTTAAAGTTAAGATTTAAATTGTTAAGAAGGACATTTCTATCTTTGTTTCAAGCTTGTGCGTCCAAACCCCGCATTTAAATGAATGCTCACTGATGACTAATGAGCCTGATCCGAAAGATCGAAAACTTCTTCAAGAAAAAGTTACTCAAATTCAATTTTTAAAGCATCAAAAGTTTTTTTGATTCCGGATTGAAACGGGGAAAACACACAGAGTACAGAAGCAAAATTTTTCTCACTTTTCACCAGTAGCACAACTGCACCGCCAGTTTGTTTCTAGATGTATAGGGAAGATTATTTCAGCAGGCCACGGCACAATGCTATTTAAGCGCTTCCAAGCCAAAGTATTTAAGCTGCTTTCCTCAAACTGACCTCAAGATACAAGAAGCGCAGTGTGGCTTCCGGCCCGATCGAAGCAGCTCTGACCACATAATTGCCCTGCGCCAGATTGTTGAGAAATCGTGGGAGTACGCCCAGCCGGCGTACCGGTGTTTTGTGGACTTAGAGAAAGCGTATGACCGGATCCCACGCAACAGTCTGTGGACATGCCTTCGTACA